ACATCTACTTTTCCTAACATTTCACCCTCACGTTAAGTGTGCAGCATTTTTGCGTGATTTGTGCGAATTTCTCTGTCTCGTTGAGGCTGATAAAATTTGGAAAAGTCGGGGAGGGGGTGGAAAATGGGAAATGCGATACGGGGTGGTTGCTTCGGTTAGTTTGTGCGCCTTTGTTGATGTTGTTTAGTGCCATAAATTCTTTTTTACTTGTCATATCTGACTTCGGGCTCTCTCCATTTAGGCACAGATCATTAAGTTTTGCACTGCGTCTATCTGATTTAAAGACCTGGCAACATGTGTAGCCGTACACTGGAGTTCCCATCCCCGGGACTTATCAAAATGTCAATTGCCCCGCCGACTGTCACGGATCTTTAGCTCTGGCCTCAGCTCCATCCTCTAATTAACGAGGCGTTGATGTCGCGTTTCGACGGAGTTATTTGCAAAAAATCAATTTGATTTGAGGCAGACTGTTGCTCAATTGCCGAATTCAGCGCAGACCAAATGAGATCCATCAAAACATCAACACTGTCAGGGGAAAGCTGACAAAGCGTTTAATTTATCCGGAGTGTATATGGTTTGAAAATTTGGGACATGCGGTCATTATTCCCAAATTAGTTTGATTACCTAATAAATAATTTAGTTTATTATAAACATACTAAAGAAACATATTACAAATTTTGCTTTTAGAAGTGGTTTTCTTTACATGTTAATCAATAAATCTGATGTAAAAGAATAATGATTTATAAGCTCTTAGAATTTGTTATTATCCACTTTACTGCAAAAGAAAAATGTATTAATTAACTAAGAATTCTTTTTTGACATTTTATTTTATGAATAAGTATATATTTCTTTATAGAAGAGAACCCAGTTCTTATCCACACCCCCGCACTCAATTATCACTTATTTTTACTACGCATGAACATCATTAGAGGTGCCTAGGCATTCCACTCGGCCTAAAGAACCCCAGAACTGGTCGCAAAATGCAGTGCAAATAATCAACCTGGGGCATGATCAAAGCGATGTTGACAACGACATCTCCTGGGTGTGTCCCATTCGCGAGTCCCTATCCCTACTCCTCCCTTTTCAGATCCCGAGACTCGAAAACTTTGGCCATATTCCGAGCATCTTTATGATCGCCTTAGATCTCCGCTGGCTGCCAACATATTTTTACACGCCAAACATTTTATTTTGACAGGCATGCGATTTGCACGCTTAATTGAGACAGGTGCATTCCAAGGAGGGGGTGAAAAAGGGGTGAGGGGGGGCGGAAAAGGGGGAGTTTTCCTGGGGGAAAATCGAGGAGGAAGTGCGGCCAAGCTGCGACATGTGTTCGCTTATGGTGTCGCACAAATGCGGAGATTTATCATCGTGCCACATGCCACGTGTGTTTTCCATTTCGTCGCCTGCGCTCCGCTGCCATTTTCGCGATTTTCACAATTTTCACGGGAAAAGCCAGCGACGCTCGCCAAATGCAAAATTAACAACCTAATTAATAGTTGGCCCCGCCAGGACAGGTCTCTTATGCCATCTGAAATGGTTCTATGCCACGGTTTTCACTCCACCCACTCTTTCTGTTTCTGTTTGGGGCAGCTGCTTTTTAAGTGCAGGGCCTTTTTCGCTCAGTGCATCGATGCCAGGCGGCAGCCACGCCCACCCAACTTGTTGGCAATAGCATTTGGCCGGGTGCTTTAATGGATTTTATCTGGGGTATGATGGGGCAAAGGGAAGGTTCTATGAAATTTTTATTCACCAAAACATTTCAAGCGAATAGAAATAATTTTAGCTTTTAATGGTTAATTATTTCATTAATTTAGTCCATCCCATTTTTTATCTACTTTATATTTTGCGAATTATTTATTTTTATACATTTATTTCTTTCTAGAACATTAAAATAAATGAAACATTTTTGAGACTTGACAGATTCCGTTTTTTTGGAACTCGTATCTATACTTATATTTAAGTAAGTACTTTCAAATGGTGCCACTTTAATAAAATCTTAATTAAAACTCCTTTTTTAGAGAATGAACAAATTAAGGGAATTATTTTAAAAATTACCATATCCTATCCACAGCAGTCTAAGGTATCTTTGTAGTCGAAGAACGTGTCTTAACATTTCGAACATGTCGCTTTTCTGTTTTTTAATTGGACCCATCTCGGGATCCCGCCAATATTTCGAGCAGCGGAACCGCAAACTAGGAGTAACTAACGGCCAGCGGGCGGCGCTGTCAAAGTCAGCTGCTTCCCTATGCCATATCCTATATCCTATATCCCATAACCCCTGCTCCCTATACCCCTATACCATCTCGGTGGAAACGTCTAAAACGCTGAAAAATTCCAAATTGACTGCCGGACCCCTGGATGTCCGTGTCCGAGTCGACTATTGAAGGCGTTTGCGGTTGGACTTTTCGTTTCGGGCCGGACGTTTATTGAACATTTTTACTTGCGGTTCGGCTCGGAAGCCTCGGGAAAAATGGTATATGCTATATGGCGGAGGAGCCGGAAGAAAGGGGGCTCCTTTATTAATTTTTGTGTGAGCTCGCCTCGATTTCACGGACAGCCTTAAATGCAAATCGCTGCAAATGGGATTTGCTGAAGAGGAGGTTTACTGGCAGCCGGCGAAATTGGCCAAAAAAATGCGTTAAATGCAAATTGGATAAGATGTCGTGTCGGAGGAGGGAGGACTTGCATGTGGCTGCCAAGGCGGATATCCTGCGCCCATCACATGGATGGTGGGCTGAAACAGAAGCCGGGCCGCGAGATCCGAGAAGGGGAAACTTTAAAGTGGATTATATCTCGAGGATGTCGGGGACATCCCCCAGTACGTCCAAGTGCTATCTCCTGCGCTTTGGAAACATAAATCCGTGAGTTTTTGCGAGCGAAATTTATGGCGCTCGCGACACTCGCGAAAGTTTTGGCGGCGGCGGCGGCGGCATTGTTGTATTTATGACCGCGACATGACCTGCTCACATAAACGGTCCTCGAGTAACGAGTCCTGAATCTAGAATCCTGGATCCCGAGATCCGAACGTGCAGGACCTGCTCGGAAATTGGATTTGCCGGAGGATGCTTGGAGCATCCTTGGGCAAAGCTGCGCCTCTTAAATCTGCACGCCTGTCAATTTATGTTTTTGATCGAAATTTATGTCCTCTTCGCCTTCCTAATGAGCAAAATGCAGCGCAGAAATTACAAGGACCCCAGGAAAACAGGAGCCTGGCACTTTGCCCCAATTCCAATCGAAGTTAATTACGTGGAACATTCGCAGTTCAATCTGGCGATTTGCATTGGCCAACCCCCGCAGGAAAAAATATTTGTGGGAAGTGAAATCCATTCAACCGGATGCAGGAAGTCTGGATTCTGCTTATGACTGCAGAATCTGTATGGTAAAGTGACTTTGGGAGTGTGTTTGCCCAATGTCTCCGGGCTGAATGGTCAGTCAGTTCGGTCCCAAACGTGGCCATAATTATTGTTATGTTAATGGTGACCATCGGCAGGGGAGACTGAGAGCAGCTTTCGGGGTTGATTGGACCTCCTCTTGACCATAAAGCCATCGCCATGATTTGGGATATCGACAAATGTTGTTTGTCCATCAGTTTCCACGTTCTATTTTCTGTTTGCCCTGCGACTTTGCATAAAAATGGATGAGTGGTGTCCCGGAATGGGGGAATTGCTTATGAAGCCTTTGTCAGAAATCAAAGTTTACTATTGAGTCTTGGGTTTCATTTTCGGATGATGTACCAAGGGATTTTCTTACTCCTTTGGAAGAATTCTAGCAAGTATCTTATAAATACTTTAGTTACTTAATTGATGAAATTAAAAGACATAGTTATTTAACGGCAGATTTTACAATCGTAGGATGAATGGCCCAAAATGATTACCATCTTATGTAATATTTGTTTAGTTTAAATATAAAAAGTCCAAGAATTCACCCTGTGAATTCACCCTAAGTACTCTCATTAAAAAGTCAGAAACGCCATTTTTAATGAAAGAAAGATCTAAATATTCAAATAGAAGCTTCGCAGGCCTATCATCTGATAATGAGAAGCGTGGAGAATGTCTTTGTTTTCCAGCTAAGTGCCAGAAAGTGTGCCACGGTTTTCTGGCCAGCCCATTAGGTTCACTCCCAGTTATCCTGGAGAAAGGGGGCGTGGCGTTAGCACTCCTTTTTTACGATTCGCCACAGCTCTTGGAGCAAAGAAAGGGGCGATCTGCAGATCTGATGCAGAAGTCGGCGGTCTGATAGGTGTGACACATACCGTGATTGATGAAATGTTTGCCACGCAAGCCAACCGAAAAGAGGAAGACCAACTAATTTCCACATTTTTCACATTTACGAAGACAAATTGAGGTGCGAACTTGGGTCGAGGCAATAAAAGTGCCGAGTATCAAAACAACAAAATCTTGGCCATAAAAAAAGAGGTGGATTTCCCAGAAAAGGGGGAGGAAGGGTTGCTCGCTTCAAACTGGCGATGGCAGGCATGCGAAATTCCCGATTGCCAATTGTTTCTCGATTCTCGAGGAGATGGGCATCCGCCAAAAAATCCCTGGGAGCTGAGAAGTCGCATTATGAGCAGGGCAACCAAAACAAAAAAAAGGGAAAGGGATCGGAATCGGTCCACTATAAAAGTCAATATCTGGGACAATAAATTGCTACTCCTTCGATACAGTTCCACTCTGCTTTTGAGTTAGAGTTCGTGGCGAATCGTTCGCCATTCGAGTTTTCCTATTTCGGTTTAGTTTTCCATTTCATTTCGTTTTATATGCCCGGTTCGCCGAAAGTTGTCAACGGCCATAAACGCCAACCACCCACCACTTTCCTTTGACTTTTCACTGAAAACCCAGCACCAGCCGCAGACTTTCCCCCTCCCCGCCCGATTTCCATTAGCATAATGTCTGATTCGCCGATTTCCCAGGCCCTTCACTCCGCTCCTCTCACTTTCGATTTGCCACAATTCCATTTTATTTATTTGCCGGCCAGCGAAATTACATTTTAAAAAGTTTACTTCTCGTTTGTTTTATTTGTTTCTGTTTCAGGGGGTACAACAAATTTTTATTGCTAATGTATGCGCATGGGAAATTGATTCCGGCCCCCCAGGTCCAAGTTTTCCTCAGTTTTCCTCATAGAGGTTGGTTGAGATTTTCCATCTTAATTCTGCGCGACCTTGAAGGCGGCTTCTTAATTGTTAATCGAGTGCCAATGCCATGTCAGCGGGACGACCTTGGCCAGAAGTAGGGGATCCATTATTCTCGGCAAATCTGGTTCAAGAGCAAAAATCGAGGGAGAAGAACTGCGAATTTCCCGAGGCTCGGCACCAAAATAGATTGGCCACAGCGAAGACATCTGGTTCGTATAAAATCGAAATGGAAATGGAAAACACGCACTTTTTCCTTTATCTCTATCTCAGCTTGTGAAACAGTTCACGAACAGCACAGTGATCTTCGGGATCGATGGCTCCCATGGCCACTTGGTACAGTAGAGCCTGCAGTATGAAGGGCATTCGCTGGCTGCGGTCCATGCTGCACCAGGTGATTCTTTTCTCGTTTTTAAGCGACGAATCCTTGACCGATGGAAAAGCCTCGCGAAAACTCCTGGTGAAACTCTCGCTGAAGTTTTCGTAGGGGGTTTCCTTCAGATCATCGCCAGTCAAAGCTTTCCACTGAAAACGAAGTTTTGCCGCTGGCTTCAGAGAGTCCCATGATGCTGATTTACAAGTCGATGTTATATAGTCTTCATATAAAGCCTGGGCTCTATCCTCCAACTCTTTGAGCTCCTCTTCAGGAGGTGGATTTTCATCAAAGCCGCTGGTTTTCTCCTTGCCTCCAGCCAACCTAGATTTGTTTGAACATTTCTTTTGGGGAAAAAGACCCTTTAAAAAATGCACAAGTTTCGTGTTTATTCCCTCTTTTTGATCATCATCATCTTCTGAATCCTCTTCAAAGCAGTCATCGTCTATGGGAAAAGTTGTTTGACACCCAAAATTTCTCTTTTTACTAGAACACTTTGGCTTCTCCTTGAAAGTTACTCTACTTCTGGGATTTTCCTCGCATGAATCCTCTTTTTTAGGGCACTGTTTCCTGTGTTTCTTGTGTAGATCATCGTCTTCACCTTTGTAAGCTTCAAAAATGAGGTCCAATTGGCTCGTGTTCAAGTCGGAAAATCGAATAAGACGCGGCTCACATCGCGCCTCACCATCGTAGGTGACCAAAGGACCTGGGTACTCGTGTCTTATTGTATAACTAGGACGGGTCACCAATTGACCCGCTATATCCACATTACTTCGCACTCTTTTTATAGCAAATACTTCATCTGAATCGGAAGACGAAGATCCAGAGACTAGATTGCTAAAAATCTGTTTTAGTAAACAATACAGATCGGCACTTAAAAATTTACACAACGTATCCATGGCTTAAAAAATTTATGAAATTTATATAATACTTAAAGATACTATTTGTAAAAGTTTTCAACTGAATTTTGTCCTTTAACTCAATGCCTTCTAAACATGCTTCCAAAACTCATACGCTTTTCAAAATGTTCCTATGATAACGCTTTCAAAGGAATCCCAATTTTACCCTGCTTAATTTAGTGTTCATGAAAATATATGGCTCCGCATTATAAATGCGAAAAATACTCGTTCACATAAAAATCAGACGGGGGGCGGGTCCAAATATGACAGCAAATTCTGCTATATTAAAAATGCTGCTGTAGCTGCAAAAAAAAAGGAAAAATATCAGAATAGAAATAAAAAGTCGAAACCGAAAGGAAAACATTTGGATATTCACATTTATTCGCTTCTCTCCTCGTTTATTTATGATTTCTGCTTATTATCTGGGGCGGGGTTTTGGGGAATCGCAATTGGAACGTTCATATTCATTCTTCCGATTAAGCAGTTTTCATGGTCATCGCCAAACGTTCGCGAATCATGGCCGAAATAAAATAAAATAAGTGGCCTAAATAAAAAGCCAGCGGGCTGAAGGGCAAAGTAAACCTCTCTGCGCATATTACCCACCGATCCGAGCACCGAATAGCTGCAATTATTGAAATTAATTTCATTTATTACATCATGAAAATATTTCCCAGCCAGCGAGCAAAATATTTTCGCCACACGCTGTCCTTTGCAATTAAGGATTGGACATTGACTTCTCTGCCCCCTTCGTCCTTCCAGTATTTTTGTGGGCGTAATTTGAAGTTAATAACGTTGAAATAAATTCCCCATTCGATTTGAATCGCCCCCATTTAGCGGACCGACATTTGCCAATTGCCCAGGCCAAAACACGACGAGACACTGATAAAATGATTTTTGTTATAACATTTTTAATGAAAACTTAAAGATCATCAGATCTTAAAGAAATGCAAAAATATTAAAAAAAAAAAATTAGAATAGCTTAGTATTTTTCTTTTACTCCCACATTATTAAGGTATTTAAAAAATATAACTTTAAATTGAATGCATAACTTGCATTTGGATCTTTATCTTCTTGTATCTTTAAAACCCATTTTAATAAACTTTTTTTGTTAGCAATTAATATTAAAGCAGAACTTAACTAATCTTAGCCATTTTTTTCCATTTCTCTCACTGTACAATTATCAGGAGTCCAAAGCATTTTAGTGAACCACCTATAAAGTCTGCACTTAATTGCTATGAATACGAATATTTGTTCGATATGACATATATGTCATCATATTTTTGGGGGGAATTTATGAGGAACATTTGGGCTGGATGAGGAAAGAATACGATTTAATAATGTTTTTCGTATGTGAATAAAGTATAACGAAGTTCTGCACTCTCTAGAGAAATTCTGCATTATAAACCGGGATTCCCCCGGCGAGGATGAGCTATTCCTCCGCATTTTCTCGGTTTTCGGATTTACGATGGCTAGGTGAGCTGAAGTGCCGTGTTGCCAGCTAATGGCGATGCGGCGGCCACAGCTCCCAGAACAATAAAATTCCCATTTAGAAGTCGCGTGAAGCTTTCGCACTCCCTTTGCACGATTTCCCGAAAGAAAAACCGCCGGAAAAGTGTGGCAGCAGCAGTTTTCCTCGGCTGCGTGTTTACGTGGAAACAATTTTTATGGCATGTCAAAAACCTATTTTAATGCTTTTAATGAAAGCGAATTTTATTGCATTACTTTTCGATTTTACTGCCCGGCCCCCGCAGCCCCCGAAAATCGACAGGGGGCGTAAAAGTGCACTCAACTCAAAATGTTGACAAGATCGTAAAAAGTTCCGTGAGGAAAACAAGAAAAACAGGTGACACGGCAAAAACAGAAGCCACCGCAAAAGTGGAAAAACTTGCCCATAACAAAGGCCACTTAAACTGCCAGTTGTGGTGGCTTTTCGCCGGGTTTTCCATTTTTATTCCGCAGAAAAAACATTTTTGCATAAATTCGAATTTCTCTGGCGACGGCTCCCGAAAGTATGCTTTGAATTTTTCGCAGCAGCCAGCTACCTTTGCCAAATTCATTTGACCAGAAACTTAAGTTATATTTTGGCGCCCGGCCAGCACGAAAAGAGACAAGTTTAGTGGCACGGCAGCAGCGACAAAAGCTTTCAGCCATAAAGGATGCAGGATGCAGGACGCAGGATTCGGGGTAAAAGTGGGGAAGGGGTGCTCCACACACGTCGCCTGTCGGAGCACTCAATGTCACCAGATTCGGGGGGCAAATGCAGTTCCAGTCGAATCCGGCGAAACAATGACATGAGTTTTGGACGCACTTTTGCTCTGTGAACTCCCTGTTCCTTGACAATCCATATTGCATGCATTAAATATCTCATGTATATATGTACCAAATGGATTCGGGGTCGCCTGTATTGACAGGGTCAGTCATGCATTGTTGGCCGGCCAAAAAAGCGGTCGGGATGTCAACTGCAGGACATCTCACAACTTTTGGCCCGGCCCAATGAGCTGGAGGGAGGGCAAATGGGCGGTGGAGGTCTAAAACAAAAGGAGATTCCTACGTTTCAGCACACTCAAAATTATTAATATATTTCTTATATTTTTTCACTCAAAAAAGGATCTGATATTATTCGAATCTGACACTGGGATGAGTAGGTTTCTAAAAACACCTCAAGGTGTCCATAAGTATGCAACAAAATATTTTGCGTGCCTAGTTCCTTTTTTTACTGCATGCTTTTAGGCACTCTTATTAAAGATTGCTGTTTTTTATCATTGGGTTACAAGAATATTCATGCTCATCGCAACATACGCCGACGACACAGCGGTTATGGTCAGGAGTCCAAGCATAGACATTGCAACCTTGGGCCTGCAGGAGTACGTATCACGTTTTGAAAAATGGACAACAGAATGGAATATAGGCATAAACTGCAGCAAGTGTGCTTGCGTCACATTCTCCACAAGGCCAAAGAACTGCCCAGGCATTTCCATGTTCGGTTCTGTACTTCGACACGAGTCCTACTATAAGTACCTTGGTGTGATTTTGGATAGAGGACTCACATTCCAGAGGCACACAACCATGATCAAGCAGTCAGTGCTTTCAAAGGCAGCAAGTATGTCCTGGCTTCTTTCGTCAAGAAATAAGCTCTCTTTGTCCCACAAAGTTCGAATTTATAAATCGATTCTCAGTCCAATCTGGAAGTATGCTTTACAAGTCTACGGCATAGCGTCTAAGACGAATCTAAACAAAATACGAGTAGCGCAAAGCAAGATTATAAGATCGATGTGTAATGCCCCCTGGTACATGCGAACCAGAGATATTGAAAGAGATCTCAAAATCCCAAAGATAGGCGATGTTTGTCGTACGCATGCTGAAAACTACTTCAGACGCCTTGGCTCTCATCCTAACTCCCTGGCGAAGAGGCTAATTTGGAGACCAACAAGAAGAAGACTGAAAAGAAACCACCCACATGACCTTCCATTAAGATATATTTAACACCTAGTCTAACTAAATATCAAATGAAAAGAATTAATGTATAATCTTGTATACCAAAACTTTGTTATCCCCTATATTTACAACCTGCTCAAGCTGCCACATAGGTAGCAGTATACCTGTTAATCCTGAATAAATATACACTTTTAAAAAGAATATTCAACTTTATTTATCCTATCCCAACTTTAATACACTCAGCTATGCGTTATTTTAAGTGCACTTCGTGGGGTGTCTGGGAGTGGGAACCCAATCGCAGCCAGATACTCGAATCTATGGCCTCCTCAGCTGTGTGACGAATCCTCCGCCCATCCCAAAGAAGTGTCATTAGCCGCGATTCGTTCATAAAAAGCAATGGCAAATGGCAGCCGCAAGTGACAAAGTTAGAGCACCGAATTCGTTTCATTGGCCCATAAAAAATAGCGAAAAACAAAATGCAAATGAGTTTAGAGGCCGCGCGAAAAAAAGGTGCAACACTTTTGCAAGTAATTCCCGCCGCCGGAGACCCTTGACATTAGAAGCCTTCTCCCCTTGCCCTTTCGCTCTTCCCGACTTTCCCGTCGCATATAATTACAGTTATTTGTGTAGCTAATTAATTGCTAATCAATCATAGGACGAAAGCGAGACGGTCCCACAGACCCACAATAAAAAAGGACGCGCCGTTGTTTGCCTGTCAGCCAGACGCAAAAGGACATCTCAATCCCGGGACTTCTAAGTATTCCCCCTCCCGAATTCTCATCATCACCATCCTAGCGACCCAACTTTTGTCCAGAGACAAAAGCCCGGCGAAAACAAAAGCTTAGCAAAAGATTGATCACAGCAAACTGGCGAGCTGCACCTGTTTGCTTACTCACGGTTATTAGCCAGGACGCGCAGGATCTGCGAATCGAAGGGGGTTCAGAGGCGGCGGCATGCAAATGGCCAGCGGCAGAAATACACAGAATAAAATACATAATAACTCCATCTTAAAATGATATGTTCTATCTATAACTTTAAAAAAATGAATGCCATTTGTATAATGCAGCCAATTTGTTTAATAAATAGTCTAAAATTAAAACCGTTTATAGAATATCATTAGAAAGTACCCACCTAGAAAGATTTTTAACAATATTCAATAGTAAAGTGCCCTAGAAGACATAATGAAAAATATTATATACCACTTTTCTTTATAATAATCATGTAGTCTAATAAAAAAATACATTAATTTCTGAAGTACGAATTTTAAATACAAAGCTAAGCAACAAATTATGTCACATTTCTGTATACCAGATATTTCAAATATTTTTTTGAGTGCATCCTTTAGCTTTCCGAGCACAGAAAAGTGTCAATCCTGGCTCGCTTTTTTGCACCTTGCCAGGATTGTCAAGTGCTCGAGTGGATCCCCGGCCGAGTCCCAACCCATCCCGATGTCCTGCTCTTGTCACTGTCACTCAGAACTGACGTCAGCCTCCCAAGGACCCCGCCCTTATCCCTTTGGCCTGGCTTTTCCTTTGGCCTTTTTTTTTGGCGCACATTTTATTTTACATAATTTGAACATTTAAGACGTGCCTGGGCATAGACAA